CTCAATGTAACATCATTTTGAAAAAGAATTGAAGCTCTGAGTGAAGGCAATGGAAATAAGTCACACTGACTTTTTTTGGGGTTATCCTAGGTTCTCTACACATATTTTGTTATGTAGATAATTATGTAACTGTTTTGTGTATCCCTGAAAAAAACTTACTTAATACATACAAAAGGAATAATTTTCTACAGTTACCCCCAGTAAAAATTTTTTCTCTTTGTTAGATTGGCAAATGTTTTTCCCCGTCATTGTAAAAGTTATCTGGCTCCACATCTTTATTTATGTTTATTTTTTTTTGTGGGGTGTATTTATATCTTTTTATGTTTGTATCGTTTTTTTTTTTTTAATTTTAAAAAAATTTCTGGATGGTTTAAAGAAAATGTGTATATTAATTTTAATCAGTGGCCCCCCGCATAACGATGGCATACATAGCGTTTTTTCCCCCAATACCGATTACTTTATCGCAAAATTTTTGCCGCGCTACCGATTAAAAACCCCGTCCCCCGTTTTTCGCCCGAGACGGTCAATGTGCCCTCAGCCGCTCACATGTCCCGCCCGTCCCTTGTTTACCGCCAGCCTCCGGGGGTAAACCCAAGATACACTCGGATATTTCGTATTATTACAGTTTTTTTCGGTGCTGTTTCTGGAAATAAGTGCCCATGGGCCCCAAAGAAAGCTTCTGGGCCCAACCAAACCCTCAAAGGGAAAGAATTACTAAGAAATGAAGAAAGAGATAATTGATAAGTATGAAAGTGGAGGCGTTAGGACCTAGTCAAGCTGTAAAGAAACCCAATCAACCATCGCTACTATTGTGGGACCGAAAGCAAAAAAGGGAAAGCTGTTTTTGCCAAGGTTCAACTGTGTTTTCGAAAAAAAGATCGAAAAGTGATGGAAGATTTGAGAGACTCTTTTGGTGGGAAAAATGAAAAACGCTGCAGGAGTGCACTCTCAGCGTCAATGTGAAAAGGCTAGGAAGTTGTGAGATTTAATTAAAAAAATGCCTGCAATAGTGATGTTTTGTGAGTGAATTTAAGGCCAAAAAAGGGTTGGGTTTTGAGAGTTTAAGAAGCGTGGGCATCCATAGTGTGAAGGCATGGTGAGGCCCCAGTTCGGCCCAAAAGCGGCTAAAAAAATTTGTGCAGGAATTCAAGGAGTAATAGAAACTGAAGGACGAAAACCCGAACAAGTGTTTAAGTGATGAAAAAGGCCCGTTTTGGGAAGAAAATGCCCAAACGGACACATTATCAGGAGGAAAGGCATCCCCGGACATAAGCCCTTTAAAAACAGGCTTACTTTGTTATGTGTGCCAATGCTACGGTGATTGCAAAGTGGGGAAACCTTTTTAGTGTATCACTCTGAAAAACCCCGAGCGTTTAGGCAAAAGAAGTCCTCAAGGGTAATTTGTGTGTGCGTGGGGGGGAAACAGTAAGGATGGGTCATAGGGGAATTTTTTATAACTGGTTAAACCTGCATTTGCCCCCCCTGTGAAAAATTCCCAACTGAAAAGAAATTTTGAATTAAGTGCCTCCTGGTTTAGACAAAGCCCCTGGTCATCCTACAGACGTGGCCCGAGCGGACTTTTGGGGAAATTTAGTTTATTAAGGTGAAAATTTTTTTCCTCCCAAAAACCCTCCCCTCCTGCGCCCCTGGGCCAGCGGTTATTTTCCCAAATTCAAGAAACTGTCACAAAGCTTGTTTGAAGGTGCTTTGTATACCAGAAACTCAACTGCTCTAAGAGGTTTGGAGAGATCACTTTAATATCCCCAATTGTGTAAAAACCTTATAGGTAAGGGGTTGGGGGAAGGGACTAAGAGGACCTTGAAATTGTTGGAAGAAATGTGGCCAAAAAAAGTGTAGACAAAAGGGATTTTGAAGGGTTTTAGGCTAACCCCGAGAATCCTTGCCAGTTGGGAAAACCATTGTGGCATTGGGAAAACCTTGGGTTTTGGGGGTTTTGGGGGGATGTGGAAGGTTTGGGGGAGGGGGGGCAAGAAAAATAACCCCTGATGAGCTGTAGATCAAATCAAAAGCAAGAGGGCCGACCTGGGGAAATGGTTCAGGGGGGGAGAAAAGAAAATTAAGAAGTTGCCCATACAAAGATAAAAGGGAAATCTGTGCAAAGTGGGGGTTGAAGTGCAAACCTTATGGTGAAAATCACCCTCACACAGCTATTGCAAGCCGTGCTGGTGATTATTACACGGGACAATGTTGTGAAACACTTTAGGCAAGTCATAAAGGAACGAGAGGTACAGGCCACTATGGACAGTTTATCTTGTGCGAAAGAAGTCCAGTGACTTGAAGCTGGCCCAGTGGCTTTAAAAAAAAGAAGGGGAAGTAACCCAGAAAAGGACTTACTACCTCAAGTCCAAATGGAAGGAGATTCCCCTTCTAAACAGTAAAAAGATAATGCTCTCCCCCCCCTCCCATCAATCATCACCAGATCTTCAATAAAAGTAAGTGTCATGTAATTGTGCATGCCTTTTTCAGTTTGTGTGTATTAAAATTAACATTTCATGTGGTAAAAAAAATTTTTTTTCATACTTTTGGGCGTCTTGCACGGATTAATTTTATTTCCATTATTTCTTATGGGGAAAATTCATTCACATAACGATTATTTCGCATAACAATTATCCCTCTTGCACGGATTAAAATCGTTAACCGGGGGTCCACTGTATACGACATTTAATGAGACTCGGTGAGTATTGTTATTATTATTATCATTTCTAATATGGCGTCACTTGTGCAAGTCATCTGCTACCACATCTCACATTTATGTTTATTTATTCTACTGTGGGGTGTATTTATCTTATTTATGTTATGCATCGTGTTTATTATATAATTTTGAAAAAAATATCATAGATGGATTAATGAAAATGTGTATATTAACGTAATATACGACATTTAAATGAGACGATGATTATTATTATTACTAATATGACGTCTGGAGACATAAGACACTTACCGATTTTAATGTGTACCTGCATGCCAGCACAGTATGTAAGTTTATTTAGGTACAGGTATACATAAGTATAATTATCAGAGTATATATAAAATATGAAATAACTTTTAAAAACATTTGAAATTTTGGAGTTTCCAGACAAAATGGAGAGACTTAGTACTTACTGAGCTCACGGAGAATGTAAACAAACAGGGTGGGGCACGGTGACCGTATTAGAAAGTCAGGTGGGGGGAGCCGTATAGCGAGTTTTGGTCATAATTTGAAATGACCGTATTAGTGGAATGCCGTAAAGTGAAACGCCGTAAAGCGGGGCCCTCCTGTATCAGTATGCTCCATAACCTGTGTCACTAGAGAGTAAGAATTAGTATTACTCTGCCCGAAATGCCTAGGCATGCTAGCGGCCTTCCTTGTAATTCATATTTTATAATATGTGAACCACACATTGTAATTAATATTCTATAATATGTAAACCCACACACTGTAATCTTTACAGAGAAAAAACATTTCAATTTCAATTTCAAAGGAGGTAACCCCAGAGAGGGCTTTGATACATGAAGTCCTTATGGAGGGGGAGTTCCCTTCCAAACAATAATCCCAACTCCCTCTCCCCTCCTCGCCTCGCCAATACACCAACAAGAGTCTTCAATAAAGATATGTAATGCTCATTTATCATTAAAATTTATGCTTTATATTTATTTCTCACTGTTTTCTGTATGTAAAACTACAGTTAATCTTTAACCCTTTGAGGGTCGACAGGCCCTCTCCAAGACTCGTTCTCAGGGTCGGCCAAATTTAAAAAAAAAAAAAAATTCTTATGAAAAGATAGAGAATCTTTTCCTGATCATATTGACACAAAAAATATGAAATTTGATGTAAAACTTACGGAATTATGCTCCTGCAAAGTTAGCGGTCTCGACGATGTTTACGCATCGGCAATTTTGCCCACTTTGAGCCCTATTTTCGGCCAATTCCAGTGTACTAGTCGACAAAAATCATAAATATTTCTCTAGAACTCTGTTTTTTCAATTGAATGAGTACAAGAAACCACCCATTTACTGATTTCAACTATCCAATATAGTGGTCAGAATTTAGCAATTTTGCCAATTTCACACAAATTTCAAAAGATGCCATTTCCAAATAGGGTCCAGAATAAACAAGAAAGACATTCCTGGCACTAAAATAACATTTCCTCTGTTCGTTAGTCACATCCCCAGGCCCCTCTTATATTTCTTTGGCTTTCCACTTTCAATTTTTATTCTTACAAAAAATAGAAGATTTACTGTTATGCAGACTGCTGCATTAGTGTAGAAATGGTATAAATAATATCAGCGCACTTGTGAAAGAATATTAGACTCACCAGCTGACGTGTATTGGACGCTTGGCATGATTTGTTTACTTTTGAACTTTGGTAAAAATCGAACATTTCTGCTACTTTGAGCTCAATTTCATGGTACTTTTCATTGTAAAACCAGTCAAAATCATCTCAATTTCTGTAATATGTCTTCCATTCTATAAAATGAGACCAAGAAAACTAGAATACAACAATAAATACCACACAAAAATACAGTGCAAAGTTGCTGTTTTATTCAAAAAACACCGTCAAATTTTTTTCTCATTAAGCACTGTGCGCTGCAGGATTTTTTTTATACTGCGCACACTGACCACATAGACCCATTCTTTCATATGTATGCCTACCAGCTTTCTCCCACCAGATTTGAGGGCGCTAGAATTTAGGCATACTAGAACGTCAAAAGCCTGGGTCATAAGCCGTATTAGTATGGCCGAAACCCTCAAAGGGTTAAAAACTTTATTTTTTGTTAAGATTTTTAGGTGTCTGGAATGGATTAATTGTATTTATATTAACTCTTATGGGAAATATTACTTCGGTTTTCAGCCTTTTTGGATTTAGGCCAACCTTCTGGAACGGATTACGGCCAAAATCCGGGGTTCCACTGTATTAAGTGCATAAAAATATTTGCAACATTATTTACTCTTGAAAATTTCTATGCTTTGCTTCACAAATATATAAAAATGATACCAAGACTGCAGAGAGTGCATTATTATCACCAACCTCTTCTCGAGTAGAATGTTGCAGCAAGTTTCCTTGTTGCCACAGGTAAAATCTGCCGCCTCAGTGACACTTTCCTACCAACTGCCAAAGGCACCATTGGAATATTCAGAAGACGACTCAAGTGGAAGGCAGCAATCTCACCATTGTGGCGGTCACTACCTGCATACACTTCTCCTTCTACGATATCCTCACGAGAGTACCTTAAAATTGAAAGAGAAAACACAATTAAAATTAAGGTTTAGCATTGAAAATACAAATACTGTACTTTATTTCTTTTATGCAGCATAATGTAGCTGACATGTAATATTGTTAGGCACCAAAGAGCCACTAATATGCAGTGCATTTTAGGCAAACGTATCCTTAACACTTTCAGGGTTGAGAGGCCCTCTCCCAAATTTGTTCTCAGGATCGAAAAATTTTAGAAAAAAAAATATTTTTTCTTATGATATGATAGAGCATATTTTTGCAAGTGTTATAGGCCAAATTTTTTTTTTGTGATCAATACTTACCGAGATATATGGAGGCGTGAGGTTGACAAAGTGAGCCGCTTACAGCAACATCGCCGACTGCTGGTCACGTGGTAATAGTTTATTTATTTTTTCTTACGTTTTCCTTTTACTTTTTAGCATTTTATTTTTTTCAAGTAACTTTTATGGCCTGTGAGACCAATATAAGTTATATTTTGGATTTATACATTCATTGTATGCTACATAATAACTGCACAAACATTGACAGGTGAACATTTTCACCTATTTTAGTCACATACTATTGACTAGAAATATATACATAGTATTTATAGGTCCCAACAATGTTTTGGTGAGGAAGGGAGTGTGGGTTTTTGTGAACAACATGGCTGGCAGGCAGCTGGCTGGCTGGCTGACCAGCTAGCTGGCTGGATGACTGACCAGCTAGCTGGCTGGCTGGCTGACCAGCTAGCTGGCTGGCTGGCTGACCAGCTAGCTGGCTGGCTGGCTGACCAGCTAGCTGGCTGGCTGGCTGACCAGCTGGCTGATCAGCTGGTTGGCTGGCTGGCTGATCAGCTGGCTGGCTGGTTGGCTCTGTCTGACTCACAGGTACACAAACACAATTATAGTGTAAATTATTTAGAATACACAAAGAATATAATAATAATAATAATACATATGTCTTTTCCCACCCAAACATGGTCATACTAGCAAACACAGTCAATGCCGAATTGCAGAAAATATCTGCCTGGATGATGACTAACAAACTTACCCTGAATACTGATAAAACTGATTTCATTCAGTTTGGAAATAAAGCTGTAAATGATCCAATTAACATAACGCTAAATAGATCATCAGTCACAGGACTCACAGAGGGAAAATTCTTAGGTATTCACCTTGACAGTAGCCTTAAGTTCCAGACACACATACAACAAATCACCAAGAAAATCTCCAAGACTGTAGGCATACTATCAAAGATAAGGTACTACGTTCCACAATCAGCTCTCCTGGCACTGTACCATATGGAATTTGTGCATGGGGACCAACAACATCCAATCACCTAAAACCCCTCATAACCCAGCAAAAGGCAGCAGTAAGAATGATAACGAATTCCCACTCCCGCCAGCACACTCCACCAATTTTCAAGTCTGAATCTGCTCACCATTAAGAACATCCATACTTATTCATGTGCCTACTACATACACAGAACAATACACGCAAATATAAACCCTCCACTCAAACTTCTCCTCACAAACTTAAACAGGACACATGACCACAACACAAGACACAGATCTCTTTTTGATATACCTCGTGTCCATATCACACTGTGTAAAAACTCTATGCACATAAAGGGCCCTAAAATATGGAATTCATTACCAGAAGATATTAATGTAACCCAGTCTGACAATCAGTTTAAGACTCTTCTCAAAAGCCACTTAATCACCCTAGACTAAACGCTAAATACTCAGTACACACATATGTACTCCCACATCATAACTTCAATAATCACGTTGAACCTTTTATCCATTGTTGACAGGAATATAATTGAACCATTGCTTTCCACAAAAAGCATTTTAGACTATATGAATACATCCTTTGTCTTAAATTCACTTATAATTAATAATCTACTGTTCAACTATGAAATAATTACTATCCTACTGTACAACTATGATAAAATCCTTAGTATTAAGTAGTCTGTAAGCCAATAATGTTAAGTTGGCCCATAATGCCTAGGCATAATAGAGGCTCTCTTTGCATTGCAACCCACTATTGTAAATATAAAATCTCAATGTACTGTTTGCAAAGACATAAAATAAATAAATAAATAAATAAATGGTGTAAGAGTGTGTGTCACTTGTCTTATCTTATCGCTCCACTAATGACAGTGATGACATTTGATGAGGGTACACTGCCTTCCCTTTATTTGTTTTCACTTTACACATAAACATGTCTGTATCTGTCTGCTTGTCTCTCTTTCTGTGTGTCTGTCTGCTTGCCCCTCTCTGTCTCAGAGAGAGCCACTAGTGAACCAACACGTATTACACACGATACAGCTGCGTCACATCTGAGTCCTGATACATATTATTTCCCAGTATGGATTTTTTGGGTTATCCTAGGTAATTTACACTATGTATAATTGTATTTATGTGTACCTGAGAGACAGACAGACAGACAGACAGACAGACAGACAGACAGAGCCACTTGACCAGCCAGCCATCCAGCCACCTGACCAGCCAGGCAGCCAGCCAGCCATCTGACCAGCCAGCCAGCCACCTGACTAGCCAGCGAGCCAGCCAGCCACCTGACCAGCCAGCCAGCCACCTGACCAGTCAGCCAGCCAGCCACTTGGCCAGCCAGCCAGCCACATAGACCCATTCTATCACATGTAGGCCACTACTCTCTCTCCTGCTCAATTTGAAGGCACTAGAATTTACACATACTAGTACGACACCAACCCTGGCACATAACTAGTATGGCACCAACCCTGGCGCATAACTAGTACGGCACCAACCCTGGCGCATAACTAGTATGACACCAACCCTGGCGCATAACTAGTATGGCACCAACCCTGAAGGGTTAAATCACTATTACATACCTGTATTGAAGACTTGTTGGGTTATGGAAGATACGGAAGAGGAGAGAGAGGATTTGTTTGGAAGGGGAATCCCCCTCCATAAGGACTTCAGGCAACAAGTCCCTCTCTGGGGTTATTTCCCTTTGTCTTCTAATGCCACTAGTACCAGCTTGAGAGCCACTGGACCCGTCACACAAAAAATCTGTCCAGAGAACTCTGTTTCTGGTGTCTAAGATTTCCCTGAAGAGGGACAAGGTTTTGTCACTGAACATGTTGCAGATATGGCTTGTTTCAGCTTGGTCAGGATGATATTTTCAACAAAAGTCCAACTCATTCCACTTTGCACACATGTACTTAATCACTGAAGAAGGCACCTTCTCCCCTCTCACTTCCTCCTCCTCTGAAGAAATTTCCTCAGCTGCAGTCTGTTGCTGTTCCAGTTGAAGGTCTTGCAGCTTTTCAGTAGTTAGCTCTTCCCTGTGGTCCTCCACCAACTCTTCCACATCCTCGCCACTAACCTCCAGCCCCATGGTCTTTCCCAAAGACACAATACATTCCACAATAGGCATAGGGTCCTCAGAGTCAGCCCCAAACCCTTCAAAATACCTCTCTTGGACACAACCTGGCCACAATTTTCTCCAAGCAGAGTTTAAAGCCCTGGAAGTCACTCCCTGCCAAGCCTTACCTATAAGGCTCATGCAATGGAGGATACTGAAGTGATTCCTCCAGAACTCTCTTAAGGTCAAGTCAGTGTCTGAGGTCACTTCAAAGCACCTTTCAAACACTGCTCTGGTGTAGAGTTTTTTGAAGTTAGAAATGACCTGCTGGTCCATGGGCTGGATGAAAGGAGTGGTGTTAGGAGGCAAGAACTTCACTGTTATAAAACAGAAGTCCCTAAACAATTGGTCTTCCAAGTCTGGAGGATAAGCAGGAGTATTGTCCAGTACCAGGAGGCACTTTAGAAGCAATTTACATTCCAGGAGGTATTTTTTCACACTGGGGCCAAACACATCATTGACCAACTCTTGGAAAATGTGCCGTGTGACCCATGCCTTATTATTTGCTTTCCACACTGCACAATCGATTCTTGATGACATTGCTTTTCTTGAACACACTGGCATTTTCAGAGTGATATACCAGTAAAGGCTTCACTTTGAAATTCCCATTAGCATTACCACAGAACAATAGAGTAAGCCTGTCTTTCATAGGCTTGTGTCCTGGCAGTGCCTTTTCTTTCTGAATAATGTAGGCCCTCTTCAGCATTTTATTCCAAAAGAGGCCTATTTCGTAACAAGTGAACACTTGTTAAGGGAGGAATCCTTCAGCCTCTACGTACCCCTTGAATTCCTGCACAAATTTTTCAGCCACACTTTTGTCAGAACTTGCAGATCCCCACGCCTTACCACACTTTGTATGCCAGTATGCTTCTTAAATCACTCAAACCAGCCTTTGCTGGCCCTAAATTCACTAACAGCAGCACTTGTTCCAGGCCTTCTCACAAATAATCGACTCCACAACAATATCTCCTGCTAATTGTTTTTCGGAGTTCCACAACAATAACAACTTCTCCCTATCTTCCATTATCAGTGATCTCTGTTTGGTTAGCACATTTACTCCTTTTGCAACATTAGCTTCTTTGATTTCTACTTTCTTTGCCAGGATAGAAGTGACTGTTGATTTTTTTTCCAAAACATCCTGGCAAGTTCTAGCACTTGAACACCACTCTCATACTTTTGAACAACTTCATTAAATTGCATCGTGTTTCTCACTTTCTTTACCAAAGGAACTTTATTAGGAACTTTCTTTGGGGCCATGGTTATTTATTTCACAGTTGCACTTAATAACCACCAAAAACAAAGGATTATAGCAAAATGTTTGGATGAATGAGTAGAAGCTTCCTCACTTGCCCAGAGACAAAGCCAGACTGACGCGCAAGCGGCATGCAGCGGCGGGCTGATGTGTCCCATACGGCCGATAAAAACGGCTGATAAGTGGAATGGCTGATAACAGAGGGTCCACTGTATACACAAAAAAAATAAAAAAACTGAAAATGAGTTAAATTTACTCAAAAGTAGACCTAAAATACAAAAATATTTTGGTACAAATATCATTTTCTTACAATATTTCTAAAGTGAAAATATTACCCATGACATGATGACAA